TCATACAATTTGTACAAAAAAAACTAAAAATAAAATACTTTCAAATGTCGGATCTAGGATCAAACGGTGAAGCTTGATCAAAATTGGACACTTGGATAGTAAGGGAATCATAGATCTTGTAAGGGAAGTATAGCAACAATTCCCCTTCTTTATTGGCCCTGACATATAGGATGGGTAAACCTGTAGCAACGGAAGAAATTGTGAGGACTTGCATCCGACCTAGCGCATATTAGAGATTGTCAACATCCTTCTTTAATTGAGTCACAGGTGTCCCACACATTCTCCAACTCGATCCGATCCATTCGTTAATAGAGCTACTCGATCTGATCTATTTACTCGTTTGCAAACGTTTCTAAAACACCTCTAAGAGTCGAGAGATTGTCAACATCCTTCCTTAATTGAGTCACAGGTGTCCCACACATTCTCCAACTCGATTCGATCCATTCGTTAATAGAGCTACTCGATCTGATCTATTTACTCGTTTGCAAACGTTTCTAAAACACCTCTAAGAGTCGAGAGATTGTCAACATCCTTCCTTAATTGAGTCACAGGTGTCCCACACATTCTCCAACTCGATCCGATCCATTCGTTAATAGAGCTACTCGATCTGATCTATTTACTCGTTTGCAGACGTTTCTAAAACACCTCTAAGAGTCGAACAAAGAACGTATAATTTGTACAAATCTTTTCATTTTCCAACTCGATCCGATCTATTGGTTCGTAGGGCTATTTAGGTTCGTAGGGCTATTTACTCGTCATTCATATTCCAACTTGATCCCATCTATTAGTTCATAGAGATATATACATATGCGTCATTTATTTCTAATTATGCTCTTTTTCTAATTATGCCTTTTTAGTTACTAACTCATCTATGTAACTACATCTATTGTTTTTTGGGAAAGGTTTCTATGTTTCCCCTACAGCATAGAAGTTCTATCCTCCCCTTACCATCCAGCCATCCAAGTTTGATAAAGAGAGTCGCTCGCCATTTGATATTAGATCCGATGTCTCAAAGTATTTTATTTTTAGTTTTTTTTTATACAAATTGTATGAATATGAAATTTAGTATGTGTCATCTTCTCATTGAGAGTCACCTATAAAAAAATATTAAAAATAATTTTTCGATAAAATATAATGATCAAAAGACCCCTTGAAGTTTTCAGGGGTATTTTGATCATGTTATTTTATTGAAAATATTTTTATATATTTTTCACTAATGTGAGTTTAATAGAAAAATGGACATCCAAAATTTGGTATCAAAATAATTTACAAAAAAAAAATTAAAAATAAAATAGTGCAGAGACATGACATTGTGATTGGGACAATCTTAACCCTCATTCAGAATAGACGGTTGAATAAAAGGAGGATAGAACTTGTATGATGTAGGAAAATCATAGAAAACTTCCCGTTGTTTTCTAACTGCCATGTGTCTCTTTTCTCTCTCTCTATACGCAATAGAGATCACAAACTCTCTCTCTATTATTTTCTAACTACGATGTCACGTATCTCCTCTCTTTCTATACACAATAGAGATCTTTTCTGACGTGGGAACATTTGGAGTCTAAGCTGCTTGATTGACTATTAAATGGAATCCTCATCCAATAAATCATTCTATTATATTTGACAACAATAATGTAGAGAGAGAAAATTTAAATAATAAAAAACTCAAAAAAATAAATATCCCAACTCGATTCAAATTTGCCAAAACCTATAATTTACTATAATTTTCAAATCAAACAGAGATAAATAAATGATAATTTTCATCAATTTATTACGATACTTACGTAGAAATAACTATATTAAATATTAGATCCATATTATTCAAGTTCTACTTATAAATGAACAAAATGTGGTTCAAGTGTAAGTTCACGCCCGGGCCGTAGCCCCCTTCACTTTTCTTTGTTTCTATCTTTTATTTTATTTTATTTTATTTGGCTTAGCTTGGCTCAGCCCTGATAGGCCTATGGAAAGGGTTCAGGACTAACCGGGACAACTACCTCTAAAACGCAAAAGCATAGAGGCAATAGAGAAAGTACCTCCAAAATCCAAAACAATAAAGGCAATAGAGAGCACCTCCAAAATCCATTACAAAATATTGTTTTGATGCTGAAACACCATCAAATTGATCATCTTAAACTTGAGATTACGGATATTGTGAAAAAAAAAAAAATTCCAAGTTGTGAAAATAGTGCATCTTTGAATATATTATCTGGACCATCTAGTTATTTATAGATCTGCTCAATTTTTTATTTTTTGAAGCTCTAAATAAATAATTAAGGTGAAAGTAGATTTTTGTCTTATTATAAAGCTTTTCAACATTAAAGCTGCATCTTTTTGGCATAGTTTTGAGGTGCACCTTACTTCAATATTATAAAGTTCCCACCTTATATGAACGTCACCTTTCAAAAAATCAAACACAATACTTTCTAATCATTTGTTTTTAAATAATATTTAGCCCGCAACCTAGGTGCGTGGGTTGTGGCCTTGGCCTAGTGCCAAATATGTCCCATGAGATAAGCATAGGTGCAGAAAATCTCGTCAAAGGCATGTGCGAGTCCAAGTGGGATTGATGTTCCTTAGGCCTTCAAGGGGTACAACAGCCTCCTCTACGTGGAATCAATAGTGCTGATAGACTTGGAGAAGGAAACAAGAGTTTACCCATCCTTGTCTCGTATGATACCCCTATTCATGTTGGCTCCGGGTTACCCAATGAGTAACCATCAAAGGTGAGCTTAGTTGGACAAGTTTGAGAGTCTCCAGAGTAGCTCGGCTATTGCTAGCACGAGAAGAAAGCAAAACGATATCTCTGGACTGAGCATCCCGATTGTTGATACCGACAATAGTGAAGTGTGGGGAGAAGCTATTGTTGACCATTTCAAGAAGGCCTTCTCTGCTGAGGTAAGATTCATTCCTAACTTGTCTAGATTGCCTTTTAAATCTCTTTATGTAGAATTGCGCCCTTCTTTGGAGTGTGATATCTCCATGTAAGGGCTCAAAAGGGCTGTCTTTGTCTTACCAGGAGATAAGGCCCCAGGGCCGGATGCTTTCCCCTTGTACTTCATTCATAAATTTTGGAGTTTGGTTAAGTTTGAACTCCTGGAGATGGTTAAGGAGTTTATGTCAAGGGGAGCTATTTTCAAAGGGGTTAATACCACTTACATTGCCCTTATTCCAAAGAGATCTGTGAGTGCCGAATTGTTCGATATTAGACCCATCAATTTGCTTTCTAGTCTTTATAAGATTGTGGCAAAGGTTTTAACTGAAAGGCTGAAGATTGTTCTCCCAAGCATTATTTCCCCCAATCAATCTGCCTTCATTCAAAACCGCCAAATAACTGATAGTATTTTGGTGGCTCAAGAGTGCATTCACAAAAACATGGGCTTTGGGGAAAAATGCAGGAATTGGATTTATGGTTGCCTATCCTCCACCCATTTCTCAGTTCTTGTTAAAGGCAGCCTTTCTAGCTTCTTCAGAGCCACTAGGGGTCTTTGTTAAGGGGATCCTCTATCTCCCTTTCTGATCTCTATTTATGCTGAGTGTTTCAGTCTATTATTACAGAATGTGGAAGCTCGTGTTAGGTTCTTTGGCTTTTCGATTGCTGATTCGGGCCCGAGAGTCTCTCACCTCCAATATGCAGATGATGCCTTAATTTTTTGTGACGCTTCTTTAGTCCAAATTGCTAATATTGCTTGCTTTCTAGATTGTTGGGAGTTAGCTCTAGGTTCAAGGTTAATTTCCAAAAGACTTCTTTAATTGGAGTCAACTGTCACCCTGACCTTTGCCATTCTTTGGCCTATCATCTACGATGTTCAATTTGGTCCTTCCCTTTTTCCTTCTTGGGTATCGCTATCTCTGATTCTAGGCCCCCAATTTCAATATGGGATTATGTGGTTCAAAGAGTGTAAGTTAAATTGGATCTATGGAAATTGAAAACCCTTTCTCTAGGTGGTAGGATTGCTTTGCTTCTCTCCTGTTTAACGAATTTACCCATTTATCTCATGTCACTTCTTCTTATGCCGGCTTCGGTTATCAACAAAATTAAAAGAATGATGTGCAACTTTTTGTGGGGATCTTTCGGTCAGGAGCCTAAGTACCATTTGTTGAGATGGGACAGAGTTTGTATCCCTAGGAATGAAGGTAGTTTGGGTATCCAAAAACTGAAATTTATGATTGAAGGTTTACTTGCCAAATGGTGGTGGCGCAGTTTCTATTGTACTGATCAACTGTAGTGTGAGGTTCTAACTTCTAAATATGACAGGGATAGGAATGGTCTGTGGATTGGAGGCAGCCGTTCTAATGAGGGTTCTTTCTTGTGGAAGCCCATTTCTAGATGCCGACTTATGATAGCAGCTCATTTCCGGTGGTTGATTGGAAATAGCTTTTCTATTTCTCTTTGGCATCACAGATGGTTGGGAGATGTTCCTGAAGGTCTATTGTCCTAAGTTGTTTGTAAAGGTGCTCTACCTTGATGCCAAGGTTGGGGAGCTGATTGAATCCAGAGGTTCCAGTGTGGCATGGAATATTCCTTTTCCTTATGAGAGACTGTCTAGTCTCATTTTTCATCAGTTGTTACAGTTATTGCAGATTTTGGAGCCGGTCTATATATCCCAGGGGTCTTCGGATGAGCTCATATGGGAATTCGAGAGTGATGGCCTATTCTCGGTGAAATCCTGCTATAGTATTTTCTTTCATAACATATGGCGATGGTCTTTACGTCAAGTGGCTATAATTTGGAAATGGCATGTTCCTCACAAGGTGCAAGCATTTCTTTGGTTAGCCGCCCTTAACAAAACATTAACATTAGATAATTTGATTAAAAGAGGTAAAGTGTTATTCAATATCAGTTTGATATGCAAATTAGATGGGAAAATTGATAATCATCTATGGCCTTTTTGCGGGAAAGAGAGAAGTGGGAATGGTAGTGTAGACTATTTTTTTTTTTTTTAGTTGAAGGGGTATTTGCTAAAAAACTATATTTTGCGTAACCCATGGAAAGACTAAGCATGGGGTTATTTGTAGTTTTTCCATATTTCTGATTCGGTTTGTAACCTCATCGGCCGGAAATTATAGCCGCATTTTAGTCAATATTTCACTGATTCTATGTACGTATCACCTGCGCTTGAGGAGCAGGAAAACGAACCAGTCCCAAAGGTGGGAAAGAGAAGGCAAAACTTCTCTCACTGAAAACCCTAATTTGTAAGTCTTTCTCTCAATTTCTTCTCTCACTAAATTTATTATTTTTCTTTGTCTCAAAACTGCTGCTTCTCCTTCTTCCTCTCTCTTTGTATAAGTTCCATTTTTCATATTTTCTCTCTCTAAATGTGCAGCCTGTTTCTTCCATCTCTAAAACTGGTCCAAATCACGTGTGTTCCTTATATTCGCAGGGATTCTATTTCTAACTCAAGCTCAGGTGATGAACTCAATCGTTTGATTTCACTTTTCCTTCATCTTTCCTTGTAATACGATTCCTTTATTTGAGAGCTAGGGTTAGGGTTTTTAGCCTCCTGTTTTCCTTCTTCTACTTCTGTAATGTCATTTTCCTCTTCTCTGCAATTCCAGCATTTTGTTTGAACTAAGGCTGGGGGGTTAGGGTTGCTTTTTTTTTCTTCTTGGTTTAACTTTTCCTCATCTGGATCATTTATTTCCTTTGTAGAACTGGGATTAGGGTTTTTCCTATCCTACAATGGCTCATCTGGGGGGAGGAGCTGAAGCCCATGCTAGGTTCAAGCAATATGAGTACAGAGCAAATTCAAGCCTGGTTTTAACAACGGATAACAGGCCAAGAGACACTCATGAACCGACTGGTGAACCGGAGTCTCTTTATGGAAAGATTGACCCGAAAACTTTTGGTGATAGAGCAGCTCGAGGAAAGCCACCTGAGCTCGAAGAGAAGCTCAAGAAGTCAAAGAAAAAGAAGGATCGGGAGCCCCCTCTGGTTCCAGAGACTCAGAGAAGAGACCCCAAAAGAAGGAGACTTGAAGAAGAGAGCGTTCTCTCTATATCGGAGGATGGAGTCTACCAACCCAAAACCAAGGATACAAGAGCTGCTTATGAGATCTTACTTAGCTTAATTCAGCAACAATTTGGGGGCCAACCCCAAGATATTCTTAGAGGAGCAGCTGATGAGGTCTTATCAGTCCTCAAGAATGAGAAAATCAAAGACCCAGATAAGAAGAAGGAGATTGAAAAGCTTTTGAACCCCATAACGCCCCAACTTTTTACGAATTTGGTTTCAGTGGGGAAATTGATCACTGATTATCATGATGGGGTTGAAACTGGGCTTGGTTCAAGTGGAGATGGAGAGGCTTTGGACGATGATATTGGGGTGGCTGTTGAATTTGAAGAGGATGAAGAAGAAGAAGAAAGTGATTTGGATCAAGTTCAGGAGGAAACTGATAACGATGAGGAAGATGATGGGGAAAATGCTAAGGATACCTCAGCTATGCAAATGGGTGGCTTAGATGATGATGATGTAGAGGAAGCAGATGAAGGCTTGAATGTTCAGGATATTGATGCTTACTGGCTTCAAAGGAAGATCACCCAAGCTTATACAGATATCGATCCCCAGCACAGCCAGAAGCTCGCTGAAGAGGTCTTGAAAATATTGGCTGAAGGCGATGATAGAGACGTCGAGAATAGGCTTGTTATGCTATTGGATTATGACAAATTCGATCTTATAAAGTTGTTGTTGAGGAATAGGCTTAAAGTGGTTTGGTGCACCCGTTTGGCTAGGGCAGAGGACCAAAAACAGAGGAAATCAATTGAGGAGGAGATGATGGATGGGGGCCCTGGACTAGTTGCAATATTGGAGCAGCTCCATGCTACTAGGGCAACCGCTAAGGAGCGGCAAAAGAATCTTGAGAAGAGCATTAGGGATGAAGCTCGAAGGTTGAAAGATGATGGTGATAGAGAGAGAAGGCTTGAGAGAGATGGCTTTCCAGTGGAGAATAGCTGGTTGAAAGGGCAAAGGCACTTGCTCGATTTAGAAATCCTTGCATTTCAAAAAGGTGGGCTTCTAATGGCAAACAAGAAATGTGAGCTCCCCCCTGGTTCTTATCGTACCCCAAAAAAAGGTTATGAGGAGGTGCATGTACCAGCCTTGAAGCCAAAACCCATGGCTCCGGGTGAAGAATTGATAAAGATAGCAGTTTTACCGGAATGGGCTCAACCAGCTTTCAGTGAAATGAAGCAACTCAATCGGGTGCAAAGCCGGGTCTATGAAACTGCCCTTTTTACCCCTGAGAATATCCTCTTGTGTGCCCCTACAGGGGCTGGAAAGACCAATGTCGCCATGCTCACTATACTTCAACAACTTGGTTTGCACCGCAATGCTGATGGGTCTTTTGACAACAGCAGTTACAAGATTGTCTATGTGGCTCCAATGAAAGCTTTGGTTGCAGAGGTGGTTGGAAACTTGTCGAAAAGGTTACAGGCCTATGGGGTCTCAGTTAAGGAGCTTACAGGTGACCAGACACTCTCTCGCCAACAAATCGAAGAGACACAAATAATTGTTACGACCCCAGAGAAGTGGGATATTATAACAAGGAAATCAGGCGACCGTACGTACACCCAACTCGTTAAACTGCTTATAGTTGATGAGATTCACCTTCTCCATGATAACAGGGGGCCTGTGCTCGAAAGCATTGTTTCCAGAACTGTTAGACAAATCGAGACCACAAAGGAGCACATACGGCTTGTGGGTCTCTCTGCAACTCTTCCTAATTACCAGGATGTAGCTTTGTTTTTACGGGTTGATAAGGATAAAGGGCTATTTCACTTTGACAATAGCTATAGGCCTTGCCCCCTTGCCCAACAATATATTGGTATTACAGTGAAGAAGCCCCTCCAAAGGTTCCAGTTGATGAATGATATATGTTACAAGAAGGTTGAGGCTATTGCTGGGAAGCACCAGGTTCTGGTTTTTGTCCATTCAAGGAAAGAAACAGCGAAAACTGCTCGAGCCATAAGAGATACAGCATTAGCGAACGACACATTGGGTCGTTTCCTAAAGGAAGATAGTGTAAGTCGTGAGATTCTTCAGAGTGAAGCTGAAAATGTTAAGAGCACTGAACTCAAAGACCTTTTGCCCTATGGGTTTGCCATTCATCATGCCGGTATGACCAGGGCTGATCGTACACTTGTTGAGGAACTATTCTCTGATAGCCATATTCAAGTTTTGGTTTCAACTGCTACTCTTGCATGGGGGGTGAATTTGCCTGCTCATACAGTGATTATAAAGGGTACCCAAATTTATAACCCTGAGAAAGGAATATGGACTGAGCTGAGCCCATTGGATGTTATGCAAATGCTTGGTCGAGCTGGAAGGCCCCAGTATGATACTTATGGAGAGGGGATAATCTTGACTGGGCACAGTGAGCTGCAATATTATCTCTCTCTAATGAACGAGCAATTGCCCATTGAGAGTCAGTTTGTGTCCAAGCTGGCTGATCAGCTGAATGCTGAGATTGTTCTTGGGACTGTTCAGAATGCAAGGGAGGCGTGCACTTGGCTTGGGTATACATATTTGTATATCCGTATGCTTCGGAATCCAGTTCTTTATGGCTTGACGACTGATGCAATAGAAAAAGATAAAACCTTGGAGGAGCGACGGGCTGACTTGGTAACAACTAATCCTTGTTTATTCTTTTGAAGTTTGATCATTTTCATCTATTTACTAACATCTGTGTGTTCATATCTTCTTTCTGTTAAAACCAATGCAATATTTTTTTTTCCTAATTTATGTTTTTATTGTTATATTGATTACGTTTCTTGTGCCATCACGTTGTTGCATTCCTTTTTCTTGATGTTGACTTCTGGGCAATTCTTGCTATTTAATATTCATTCTTATGCTAAAGTTTGAAACTTACTGTGCTGCATAAAAACTACTGGTGGAATGCAAGTGATAATGTAAGGGGATGTTGAGTTGAACACTTGAACTCAAGCCTGTATAGCCCAAAATGTGGAGCTCTTTCTAGTCCTGTCATTTGGGGTCAAATTCCATTGCAATACTTCACTATTTTTGTATAAGCAATAAAATATAGGGAAAATTTTGTATAGAACCCTAATTCTTCGTATTATGTCATGGTAGATCTTCTTTCAGTTTTTCTTTCAAACGGCATAAGGAAAATCTCTATGGATTTCACCGTACCCCCTCATCTCTTATCTCCCTCTTTTATTGACTTTTGACAATAAAAATTAGCCCCAACAAATACTTTATTACTATTTACTATCCTAACTTTTTAGTTAACCCTTACCTACTTTTTCCTTTTACCCTACCCGTAACTTAAAAAGTAAGTTTTTGGGTTTAAAAATTTAGGTAAGTAAAAAAGAATTTGGTTAGGGGTA